TGGGATTAAAGGCATGCGCCACCACACCCACAGCATTTTGGTTTTTTTTTTGAAGCATACAGATTTAAAGAAAAAGTTAACCAATGTGAATATGGACTGAATACTGAGATATAAAAGTCATCAGGATGGCACCAGAATGGCTAAAGCTTGAAAGTTAGTGGCCACTCTATCTCTCAGAGCTTGGTGACGTCTGTGAATTAGAGATTAATAGCCTCGGGAACACCTTCAGCCCCTTTCCCTGCTAAAAACCTATGGCTCACTAGTTCTGCCTAATAAAGTCAGTCACACTTTTAGCTCAAAATCAGTGCCTTTTCAGCCTGGAACAGCCCCCCACTTTGCTCCTATAAGATGGGGGGACATAGGGGTACCTCAGGCAGTATTTGCAAAGTGCTGGTTCCATAAGCTTTATGCTCTGGGGGAGGTGGGGAGCCTCTCTTGGTCAAAAGTGTGGGAAAGGCTGGGCAGTGGTGGTGTACACCTTAAATCCCAGCACTCAGGAGGCAGAGGCGGCGGATCTTTGTGAGTTCAAGGCCAGCCTGGTCTACAGAGTGAGATCCAGGAAAGGCACAAAGCTACACAGAGAAACCCTGTCTCGAAAAAACCAAAAAAAAAAAAAAAAAGTGTGGGAAAGTACTGTCTGTGAGAAAGTCTTGGGCGTTATGCCACATCAAAGGCTTAGAAAGAACTTAAAATGCTTGTCCCTGTCTACCCATTTATTGGATTGTAGGGTCCTCCTTTTGCGGAACCTGTATTTCTGTATACCGACTCTTCATCACATCTGTCAGTAGCCCTCCTGGGGGAAGGCACAGTAACATCTGTGGCTCTGGTATGCTGCCACTGTTCGAAATCCACGCTCACCACACACCACACACCCTGCCAGCAGCTGGCCATGTATTCATCTCGTGTTCCCAATTCCAAAGGTTGCTGGATAGTCAGTCGCTTTGCTTGGGTGCTTTCTCTTCTCTGCCTTCCAAAGTCTTTGCAAACCAGCTGAATGCCCCTGCCGAAGTGGCTCCCATTTCTGCAGTCTTTTTACCTGCTGGATTTTATTTTCCATTTTCCACCTTGTACACTAGTAGGTTACGTTGCTGATAGCAGAGCCCAATAAATGTTGAGTTGATCACTAAATGAATGATGGCAGGATGAAACTCAATGTGCTGCTGAAGCAAATGACAGAATCAAATTTGACAAATCCCAGCAGAGAAAGGCTGGTTTGTATGTGTGTGTTTTTTAAGCACCTTTATTAACTGGCACAAAAGTGTAAGTTTGATAAATTTTGACAGGTGTACGCCCATAAACGACCATCATAATCCTATAATCATTCCATTACACACACACACACACACACACACACACACACACACACACACACACGCACGCGCACACACTCTCTCCCCCCTCTTTCCCTACCCGCCCTCTCCTTGCCTCTTCTCACCAACACCAACCACTCTCTGCGGTCCACTGTGAGGCACCACTGAACTGCTTCAGATCACCAGCCATTGGGTTAGACTTCCTTAAGCTGTGTAGGAATAGAGTCACACAGTGTGCATTCTTCCCCCCCTCCACACACACACCTTGGCAGAGCTCTGTTGAGATTCACTCTCACAGCACAGTCAGTCCTTTTTCATTGTTGAGTAGTGTTTTTTTCTGTACAGCTATACCAGGGTTTGTTTTGCCATTTACTAACTAGCTGTGCTGACTAGTTTTCTTGTTATTGTTGTCAACTTGACACACACTGGGGTCACCTGGGAAGAGGGAACATCAGTTGAGAAGATTCCTCCCTCAGATTGGCCTATCACATCAAGTCTATGGGCATTTTCTTAATGATTGATGTGGGAGAGCCCAAATGACTGTGGGCGGTGCTACTCCTGGGAACGTGGTCCTGAGTTGTATAAGAAAGCAGGCCAAGTAAGTGATGGAGAGCAAGCCAGTCAGCAGCACCCCTCCATGGTCTCTGTTCCCATTCTGTCTCCGGATTCCTGCTTGAGTTCCTGCCAAGACTTGCCCTAGTGATGGGCTGTGATGTTGAAGTGTAAGCCAAATAAACCCTTTCCTTCCTCAAGTTGCTTTTGATAAAACCTCATGGTGTTCATCATAACAACAGAGAAGCAAACTAATTCAGGATCTCATGTAGCAGAGGGCAGTCTTGAACTCACTTTGTAGCTGAGGCTGACCTTGAACTCCTGATCCTCCAGCCTCCACCTCTCAAGGGCTGGGTTTACAGGCGTGAACGACCACACCCAGCTTATCTTATTTTGAGTACATAGTGTTTCTTTTCTCCTGACTGCTAATGGTTTTCTTTTTCACAGTTTTGGGTTATGATGGGCCTCCATGCATTTTCTTTGTGTTTCTGTGTTTACTGCTCTTTGGACTCCAGGATCTCTGGGTTTGTACTTTTCTCCGTTTGGAAAAGTCTGGCCATGAATTGTTCACACGGGCCTCCCATCTGCTTGCCTTTGGAGACCTAAACTATCTGCATGTGGTGCCCGTTGCTGTCGCCTCGCAGCTCAGTCACTGAGTTTCCTTTCCATAGTTTCTGTTGCTGGGTCTACAAGTCGCTCTTCCCCTCTGCAGTGCTTCACCTGTCACCCACGTAGATCCTCCTAGAATGTGTTCTTCTTATTTCTAAGTTCAGTTTGAGTCTTTTGAAGAAGTTTTTCTCCGTGGAATTGTGTTCCATGGAATGCAACCACAATAAATGTTGTGATGTCTTTTTCTGTTGATTCAACATCCACATTAATTGGGTGTTGGTTTGAGTTAAATGTTCTCATCATGAGCCTTTATTTCCCGAATCTCTCCTTCATCAGGTAACTCTAAGCAATGTTGGGTCTGGGGTTAATTATTCTCTACGGCTGAGGAAAAAACACCTTTCTGAGTGCTTTACCCAATACGTCATTTTCTTGTTTAACTTCTAGGGATAGACAGTGCCAACCTGAATGGGTACTAGGCACATTCTTTTTAAAGTTACAGAAGGTTCCTTCTTACACACTGATTAACATCTTTCCCCGTATCTGAGGGGACTCCTCAGTTAATCTCAGGCCCTCTTCCTGTGCGGCATTCTCCTTCTCAGTAAACTGGCCTGTTACCTCTAGCCACATTCGTCTCCCAAGCTCTCAGTTCTCTTCCTTCTCAGGGTCCACTAGTAACTTCTTGGGTCCTTCTCCCTTGCCCTGTGTCCTAGAAACACTCAAATAATAAACTGAGGCAATTGAGGTCTTGGTTTGTTTACTTTTTTTCTTCCTTCTTCCTTCCTCCCTCCCTCCCTCCCTCCCTC